TCCTGCTCACAAGCTTTAATCTGTCTAGTTTCAAATTCCCCAACCCTGCTCTATCACTGTGCTAGCGAACTTAGACAAATAGTTTAAAACTACAAATCTTAACAGGACGCCGTGTTAAGACTTCAGATGTGTGTCTGAAAATGTCATGCAGAGTTTTGTTTAATTACCTGCTATATATTTCAAATTAATATAGGAATTGCCAAACTAGAATAGGCAACTAGCCATTCAGTTTCGTAATACGGTGCTTTCCTTACAGCAGTAAATACCAGATGCTTCAAAGAAACACACACACAAAAAAAGCTGACACTATCAAGCATCCCAACCATAAGAAAATTCCTCTGTTTTAAAGTATGCCTTGAAGCTACAACTAAATCAACATAAATACGAGTCATTCCCTAAAAGAGGAACCCTGTTCTCCCCTGCCCTCATGTACTGTAAGAGCTAGCAATTGTGTGACCACAAAATGGGTTGATGCAGGAAGCTATTCCAACAGAAAACTGTTCATTATTTGGGCGGAGTTAGTGTTCCATTGGATTAGCCAACTCAACTCACACAAATGCCAGATCCTGCAAATGAGCAGAGAATTTGGTCAACCTTTTTTTGAATTAGATTAGCTTAGCTACAACACGAAAGCAAGCCAAGAGAGACATGAAGTCCTTATACAAGGCAAGCAGCAACAGCAAGGCTGGAAAGGGTCAAGAGGAACACGGCTGCTCCATTCCGCAGTAGATCATACTAGACTGGTTTAGCTTCAAGAATTTAGCTCTTAAGAAACTTAGGCTACAGCCACACCATAGTCTGAGCCAGTTTAAATCAGAACAGCTGCAATATCATCCTCCACTTTTTTCCATACATGCATTCCTGCCCATTCCTGTGCACCAATGTTGTGCATGTCTGATTCAGTAACCATTTCAGCAGGTTCAGCCCACCAAAGAAGCAGAAAAACATTCATTGTTTTATGCAGCTGGACTTTTCCACCTATTTTAACTCAGCTTTTGCCTTGGAGATCTACAGAGTAGTACTGCCAGCATGCAAAGGAAACAGGAATGCATGGCTCAGGTAAGCAGCCACTTACTTAAATAAGGTATAAACCATGGTTACTTTCAAAGAACTATTTGTTGACCTTAAATTGTTTATTAAATCAGTTTAAGAAATTTCCTTCTAAACTTTAATTCTACATCTCTTAATTTGCATTTACAATCACTTTTGGACTCATGCTGAGTTGAGGCACCTAACATGGATCTTGAGCTGCATGCAGGTTCATCACGTGGCCAGTAATACTGGGGCTGTGGCGGGTGCTGGGATGCTGAGTCATCCCGAGTTTCAGCTGCAGAAGAAAAGGAACCAGCAGGGACTGCCGGGGCTACACTGCTGGCTTGCCTGGGACTCCAGCCACGCTTCCCATACAGCCCTGCAGTACAGCAGAGCAATGCCCTGAGGAGTTGCTACTGCTGTGTCCACTGACTGAAACAACCCCACCTCTTCCTCTCCCTCTGGTCACGTCAGGTACGCTTGCCTTATCTTATCATTCTCTGACATACACAGATCTTTTAAGAGTCTCAGCATCGCGGAAGTTTTCCACATCTGTCTTTGGGCTTCAGTGATATTTACATCAATGTGCTCTACTGTCAAGGTATACACTATGTAATTGGTGGAAGGGCCAATTTTCAATTTTGGTACGTATCCCATTGTTCTGCTCAATTTTCCTATGTTTAGAAGTGTCTTCTCCATTCTACTTAACCTCTGTGAGGTAAATCATTTCAAGCTTTTAACGTCCTATGCTGAATTTTTGGTCTCTGAAGTCTTCAGCCACGTTCCTGACAGTCAGCAAGTCCACAAAGAAGTATCTCTGGTTATATCATCTACACAAATATCACATTTCTAAAGTTTTAAACAGCATCCTGTAATTTCCAACTTGACTTTGTAAAGTTAACATTCTCTTAATAATTTACTTAAGAAATTGCCTAGGTATTAAAGGACAAAACAACGCTCTAATCCTAAGTGTGAGTATGTGAAAACCTAAGCATTACTTCCTCCAATATCATTTATTACCGTCAAAGTTTGAGCCCTGTTTTGCTAAGCTTTCAACACAAATAATGGCAGAACTGGAAGCAAAAGCAGGTTATTATCCACTGAAGATACATTCTCTTCATCAACTCCTTTACGTTGTACAAAATTTTACTCAAACCAGACGCCCCACACAACAGTAGACAACAGAAAGAGTACAGAACACATTACCTCCTGGATTTTGTTCCAGGACACCTTTTCCTAGGCCAACTGAGGACTTTAACAAGGAAAATGAAACACAGAACTTTTGCTTGTGTCCTCCACCAGAAATCTGTATCAAAACATGTGCCTAAGCACTAGAAAAAAGAAAACTGGAAAATTAAGAGGGAAGATTTTCCATCTCTCTCCAACAGAAGTAATTGTTTGATATCAGACAATTCCCACCAAAAAACAAACAGCCACACAATTAGACAGTCCAGATTATTTATAAGGAAATTTCTATCTGCAATCTTTCAGCATTTTTATCTCACTCCTTTTCAAAAGGTCCGTTATTTATGTAGTTTTGAATGAACACTTTGTACGAAAATAATGTCCTTTTTTTGCATTCTCTTTCTAGTCATTTCCTTAATTTTTCCTCATTCTTGTACTACACATTCCTTAGTACTAGCTTTCCAGCTTGCATACTTTATCTTTTCTTCTTGCAATAGATGCAGCATTCGGAGACATTAAATGCAAGAAAGCAGAAAAGCCCACAATTCATGCTTGCCATATTTAATTCCCCAAAAACAGGCAGAAGACAGGAAAGAAGAAAACATCACCAAGATATAAAAACAATACTGAAATGCTGAAAGACCAATTATGCATCTTAGAGGCTACAGCTACAGTCCAGGATGGCTGCCTTCACAGAACACGCTGTCCAAAGGACAGCACACTCAGACCAGTAAGATGTTCACACTTTCTGTCAAGAAGTTGCCTTGATTTGAAGACATCCTACAGAATTTCAAGTCTCTGATAAAATCATAGACACCTCAAAATAAAAGACAAAATATGTAAAAAAAAAATTTAGTAATACCAGAATCAACAATCCTGTTTTCCCATGCATTTGTTTTGTGCTTGACTGATTCATGCTACAATAAGGTACAAATTCTGACCAAAGTTCTTCCCCAGAGTCAGTTTTAAGATTTCCCTCCTATATAGATTCCCCAATAATGAACAAGGTATAAGATCACATGGCAGCCTCTTCTTCAGGGCTGAGGGTACTTTTGTATTTCCTTCCGACATAGTATTATTCGAATACAACTTTCAGAAATTTAATTCTTCCCTGGATCTCCAGTGATTTTTTTTTTTTGACTGATATATGAGGAAGAGAAATAGAACAGGTAGAGGTACAAAACAACACTGCAGTCTCCTTTCTTTAGGAAAACCAAATTAAAAAGTTGAAAAAAATAAAAAATTATAATAGTGTTACACAGCTTGACACTGGTGGTATTAATATTATTCCTGTAACATAAGCTTACTATCTACAGAATCATTTTACTTAACATTTCTAATGCACCTTAATGTCTTGCTTTTCCTTTTTAATCGCCACAGAAAAAACAAGCCAACAGGAAAACAGAACAGAAAACTTACAATTTAGTTGAAAACACTGTAAGTTGTAGTAACAGTTCAAATTATTCTGATGCACATACTTTTTCAGCCACGTTCTTTTTTGGCATATACGTAACTACACATGCATACAGCAGCATGCTTTAGTTATGTCACATTATCACCTCTAGCTCCATGATAATTTGTACTGTCCATTGAAAATTCCTTTTAGTTTATTTCAAACGTGTTTGCTATCTTGGAGTCAGAACACAAACAGAAGAAAAAAGTCCCCCTGAAACTCTTAAATAAACCCATAAACTTCAAGTACCTATGCAAAAATGAATCTCCATAATTTCTTCTTAATTGAGAGGTCCTATAGTCCTTATCCTGAAATCAACAAATAAAGCAACCCTCCTCTCTGTTCTACATAGGGAAAGCAAAAATATTTCTAATGCAAATTAGCAAAGTCAACAATTGTATTTGATTATCACAGTAAATGCTAAAGAACATGGTATCATGTACATCTACATGATTCAGATGACGTATGGCACACATGGAATTCATTATTAGAGTACAGATGCTCCATTTTACAATCTTTTTCCAAGTACCCTTTCAGCACATTCCCAGCCTGAGCTCATTCTCACCAAGATTTCCATCCTCAATGGTCAGCACCACTTCATCCATCACCAAGGCCCGGAAATCTAGCTCCTCTTCACAGCACTTGGCCTTCAGCGCTCTCAGGATCTCCTGCTGAGGGTAGTCTTCTCTGATGCGACGGTCTGTTAAGAACCACAGCCTGGGAGCAACTGAACTGCACATCTTGGACTTGTCTTGCAACCTTCAAGGTTTCCTTTCAGTGGAACTTCTAGATGGTGGAGAAGATGAGACTCTGTTAGAGTACATAGGCTCCTATCTTCATGTTCCCCACTGCACCAAGTCCTACTCCCTCTGCACAATTCAGTCCTTTTCAATGGAGTGCAACTTCCAACCTCCAAGTGGGAAAATAATGTCTACGCCTAATCTGCAACAGAAGTAACAACAGAAACAAATCCATTTACATTCAATGGAATGTAAATGCTAGAAACCACGTCTCAGTCCTCATCCCAGTTTCATCCACAAGAAGCACACACTGGATGTAACGACTGGTACCAGTATTAGCATCCCCGTTTCTAGACAGTACTGAGAGGCATGCCAAGGACTGAAAACATTTTGAATGGCCATCTCTGAAGGCCAGAATTTCAACTTTATGATTGGGATTAATTCCTTACAATTGGAAATAACTCAGCCCTCTACTAGGTACCACTAAAGCATCGGTGACAGACTTGATGTATCCCTTTCCACCATACATGGAAGACAGTGTGCCAAATTCTTTGTGTTAAAAAAAGCAGTCCAGAAGGAAGAAATCCATTTAAACAGAATTTTCCACATAAGTATTTCAAGACCGATTTTCTCTTACAAATACTTCACATCTACTGTAAAATATGTTTAGTATTATCCAGAACATATTAATGGAAAAACCAATGGAACAAGGAGCATCAACAAAATGTTAAGAATACCAAACATTAATATGTGTAAACTAAAGCAAAATCAAGGTTTGAATCTCAGTGCTAGCCCTTTCTTGCTCCAATTTTTTTTTTTAAATCATCTTTATACATAAACAGCACTAATGAATTCAGCACCAAAAACAGAAAAAAAAACAGCTCAAATTGAAGAATTTCAATGTTGCTAGAAGTGATAATGGCAAGATACTGCTCCTTTTGCTTTGAATACAGAGGACTTGGACTATTTTTGAGTATATACTAAAACATTTTAAAAGCTGCAAAACAATTACAGGTACGTTAATGGACTACTCATTTACACTCAAGGAAAACAAGAAGCAGAATGGTGTA